AAATAAAACGGCTCCGACCGTGTTAAAATATATTTTTTAAAATTTACTAAACTAAACAGCCTACAGTATTTTTACAGTTTTTATTTTGTAGTTAAAATATATGTTTATCAAATAAAGTTTAATGTTACAACTAATCATTGATCACTTTAAAGCAAGTGAAAAAATACTGAAATTTGGTATGGACCTTTCTGGCATTTTTCAAATAGTTCTTCAGGACTTTTCTACTTTCAGAACTGTAAATTTGCATATTTAATTGTAACTTAAAATGTTTTAAACAAAGRCAATCAAACTCTGTCAGTGTTATGTCCAACAAAGTCAGCGAGCTCCTTCTGGAACCGTCTGCAGTCAGTCCGTGTGTTCTCTGATAAACGGTCACACTGAACCCGTGGTTCTGTTGTTTGGCCTGGGACCACCTCTACCCCTCTATGCCAAGAGGAAAACCAACACAAAGACAGCCGCCACGTGTTTTTAACTCATCTACAGTTACAGAGAGCTGCTCATCAAACTTTGATCAGTTTAGCAGCAGGTAGTGAGGACAGACACAAAGACTCATCAAATATAGATTCTGCTCCAGACRTTTTATTTGACAGTTAAAACCTTTTTCCTAATCAAATCCACTCATTATTTTATTTAAAACAAAAGCACATCTCTCAGCTGACTTTACCTGTTCTCCATGCTAAAGTTCAGAAGCATCAATAATTCACAGCTGCAGCTCAGATCACCMCATCCAGTTTCACCGACTGAGCCAGGACTGTTTTTCTCACATTATGATCTGAAACCCAATGAATCAGTTGTCAGTTTGAGATTAAGATAATCCATCACTTAGACCAGACGGTGAAAAGTTAATTCAAAATATGATGAARCTAAAAAATGTAAAGTTTCAGTTAAAACGGTGAAGAGTGAAGCTGTAATATGATTAACTCAGAGGTTCATTCAAAGAATCAAAACAAAAGAAAAACTTGTCAAAAACAAAGATCTACTAAGGCCCAGGGCTACAAAACAGTGGCTAAAAACTAATCCCAACAAAAGAGAATGGGCACAGCCAACCAAAAAAGTTAGCTTTGCTAACCACCAACTAAAAAGATTGCCTCACACACACTGGCTATCTCAATTCAGAGGCTTACATCACTGCTCTGCACTGGGTTTAGCTGCAACCACAGCAAGACACGCCCCCTTCAAAGCACACCCCTCATCTTTTTTTAAATTTGTTTGTTTCAGTGACCTTATTAAGCTAACCCTCTATTTTTTATACATTTTAATTTTTTTCTTTTTTTAATGGTCATACTCGTTGTTTGCAATGAAAATTTGCTTTCCAGGCCACCTTAGCAAGTGTGGGTGTGTTTTGTAGCAGACAAGGGGCGTGGTTTGTATTGTCGAAATYTGAAGCTGGGTATTATTGAATTTGTGGGCTCCTTCTCTTTAAGCTGATGAACACARCCTACAAAACCCCACAAACATAGGCTGCATCTGAGTTTCCCTTCCCGCCTGAATATTTCCCAGTGCTAGCACAAAGGCTAACAGGCTAAGCTGATGTTCTTCTTCCATGAAGCAGCTCTGTTGTCCTCCATCCATATTTTCAGTTCCAGGCTGAGTCATTTCTACCTTCTCCTCTCTGTCAACGC